ATGGAATTTGAGGAAATTCGTGCTGCTGAGTAAACCGATAAAGATATTACTCTTGAATATGTTTGATAAGATTGAATATCAAACACATTCTAGTTCTGTGGGCAAATGCATTTTCTTCTACCCGCTAAAACGAGCTTAATGTTCTTAATATTTTTTTTCCGCTTGACTCACTCACTTGATCTAGCGCGGCCGACACATAACAAAATTGCCTCAAATTACACATTACATACAAAATCAAGTCCAGAATACGACGGGAAGAATAATTTCCAAAAACTATAATCATATTTGAGAAATAAGATTTTTTTCAAGTAATGGCGCGTCAAAAGTTTGGAAACTTTTTGTTTCCCTCATCATTATGATTCCTACTCTTCAATGTTTACTTGTTTCTGTTAATTTTAGTTCAACCATTGAGTATGTAATTTCAAAATGAATTCATATGCAAAGGAAGCAGTTTTTCCATGGGAGGTCCTTTTTTAAACCCTACAATCCGGAATACGAAATTGAAATTGTTTCTTAGTAGTTCAGTCTCTACGGAAGCAATATTATCGAATGTTTCTAGCGTTATTGGAGTCGAGTAAGCATAAGAAGAATGATCATTCACAAAAAAGTATCCTCACAAGAAAATTGGCCCTCCTCAAATACTTCGAAGGGTGGTTGGCACGTCCCGTACCCCCGACATTCCCAACTAAGACAACTTTTTCTGGTTTTTCCTAATCATATGAAAGTCCAAGTGCAGCCCAACATCGGCCGCGACCTGGTGAATATTACGGATGATGTCCCAACAAGAAGCCATTGTTGGGCTTCAAGAGCAGGATGGCCCAACTGGCTTCCGCACACTAACGGCTAACATGGGCCGGTGGCGAAAAGTATTAGGTTGTCCCATAATTAGTGAATCACTTTACATTTATTGCTATAAATTCCAAGAAAAATCTTGAAGGCGTGAAACATGTTTTGCCAAGTAGTACCCACATTGTCCTACCTGAGCAATTAGTCAGCCCATTCACATGTTGCCTTCCGAGGCTTAAACTTCAATTTTTCTGGAATCTTTCCCCAAACACGATATGAAATCGCCATGTTCCCTCTGGCTTCCCCAGTGATCATCCTGCGTACTCACCAGTGTTGTGAAGTGGGTGGAGTGTGCTAGCAAATCACAAGGAGCAGTAGCCTAGCTTAAAAGATTCGGGAGTTCTGACAGCAAAAGCCCAACCACCTCTGTCGGACCTGTATGTCCGACACTTCTGAGATTTTAGTGGAGCACAGAAGGGACCTTGCGCTGGGAACCGCCGCCCAGTAATACTAGAGTCAGTGAAGAAGGCAAACGTCGACAGCATAATGGCGACGCGTTCAATCTGAAGGTAAAGCAAGACAAAGTCTGCTTTTTTCTGAGGTCATTCGACCCACCTTGCGGAAAATATTCATAAAAAATTGGAGACCTTTGGGCTAGCAGTTCTTCCAGCTCCACCGTGTAGCCCTACCCTCGTACCAGCGAAAGATAACCTAGTCTTACTTATACCATTCTTCTTCAGGAAGAAATTTTACGCTAAGTGACATGACCTCAAACCCGACTTCCGATCTTTCTTTGATCAATAACTCCTGGAATTCTAGAGAAAAGACAGCGACTAAATTCCCATGTATAGGCAATAGTTTGTAGATAACAGAGGTGTATGTTTAGATGAGCAAGCACTTCATATGAAAAAGAAAAAAATTAAAATTGAAAAATGCCCAAAGTGATTCACTAATTATGGGACAACCTAACTTTGTCCTCAGCAACGAGTGGAATTTATGTCTTCCTGGAAATGAT